GATGGCTGACAAAATGCATTTTTGCCTGTGAAAATAGTTGCTAAGCCTCCATTGCAAAAATAAAACAATCACAGTGTCACATTAGCTTAAAAATTTTATGACACATTAATGTTTCCCTGAACTCAAAGTCCTTTTAAAAAAGTGGCTTGGAGAAAAATGAAAAGCAGCTTCCAGAGTGTTTTACTGGCACATTAAGTTATGCATTCTAAGTCCTGGAGCCGAACCGTTTTTAGCATTTATGGGAGCTCCGGGCTTCCAGTCCTTGTGCTGAGCCAGCTATTAATACGTGACAGAAAGCATCTGTGATCTACAGCTTGCAGGGTTCAAGCCCCAAAGCACCCAGAAAGCCTGTGCATAATCCTTCACTCTCACAGCTGATTGACCACACCACACATAAGTCAATGTGATGTATATGCTCTGATGTGACAGGTCCAAAATATAATGTACTCTACAAATGATTTGATCTTAATTAGAAGAACAAGGGTCTTTTACATGACAATTTTCTTTTGGAAAAAGGCATAGTGCATTGAGAGATATTAATGTCAGCATCAGTCACCATAAAACACAGAGACATGATCTATTTTAAGGCTTGTGGATGTGAAGTACACATTAAAAATGGGATTATGCTACTGCTAATGCGAAAATTATTGCCATTCTAACTTCCCACTAAACCAGACTGGGGTGTCATTATGAGCATAGTAGCTCTTTACAGAGAGAACAACAGCCCAGTCTTCTGTTGGAAAATGCTTGGCCCATTTCTTTGATGTCCAGACTTCTGCTAGTCTCCATGTGAGCACAGAGGCAAGTACATCGGTGCAGGACTGTGGCCAAGCAGCTGGCCCGAAGTCAGGAGGTTACAGACCTTTCTGAATCACACAGCCTTCGTCACATGAATGTTTCTACCCTGCACTGGTTTGGGTGTTTTTTTTTTGGTTTTTTTTTTTTTTTTTTTTTCTGGAGGACTGGATCAAAGCTGTCTAGCTTGAAAAAGATTTCATTCACTTCAATCAGCATGGAAATATGTCTGGTTTAAACTTGAATTTCGATGAGACCATATTTTCACCACTTTGGTCTTCCTTGAGTAATATGATCACTCTTTTTTTACCCGTTGGGGCACTGGTGTCTGCCATCCAGCAGCCTTTCCCTGTTGGTATAGTTTCTGCAATTAAGATGTCAAGCAGGGAAATTACGTAAGTGGTGTCTATGGGAAAACTGACTGGATGAAAAGAAGGAAAAGAAAAAAAGCTGTTACGATAATACCTGGCAAACGTAAACATCTTCTAAGTAGAAGGGTGTGTCTCCCTTTGCTAGCTTGTCTCAGAGCACTGCATGGGAGAACAGTCTGTGCCCTCTGATGCTTTGCCCAAGGAGAGCTTCGGGAAGGTCTGCAGCACAACCTGTAAGTGTCTCATCACACTCCTGCTGCGGGGATGCGTGCCTGTGGTGCCTCTTGCCTTCCTCAGGCAGCTGCTTGTTTCGTATGGTGGGGTGGTTTGTCTTCTGTAGGAGAGCCCTGTATGAGAGCTGTGATTGCAAGTCTGAGCTACTGAAAACTTACTCTGCTCATCTCCCCTAAGTCAGAGCATGCAAACATGGATGTGACACCCCATGATCTGGAGAATGATTTGCCCAGACATGGCCATTCCTTGCATTTCAGGGGTGCTGACTCTGTTACTTTCCCAAATGTAGGTAACTCAGCTGCATAACTAGGAGGGGGGAAAGGAGGGCAAACTCATGCACACTCTTCCCTGAAAACAAACAGCTAAGGTGCACAGCCACCACATGCTCAGTTCAGTACACTCCACATGCTGCAACGCCAGTGTAGGGGGATGGGAATGCAATACCCATAGCTCACCTAGAAAATCTGTGCCTGCTCTCATGTGCTGGAAACACACAGACTGAAACACAAAGCAGTGTATCTGTGAACAGACTACAGTCACAATTTCCTTTACTGGCTAGGTTAACAATTGTGGGGAACGGACATTCGTATCCCAAGCCCTGTCGAGGATTCACAAGAAAACTGTGGTCAATTTTATTATGCTTGGGCTAAATCCTCTCATGTTTGGTCGTTTTAACTCACTTGATATGGAATGAGCCCTTTGATTTGACTCCTTGCCTCCACAAAAACACATCACATTTTTTATGTTATTTTCACCAACTCCAGTTCATCTCAGTGCACAAGCAGAGACTTTGGGTTGGGGATCAATAGAAACTGCACTAAAAAAATAATTGATACAACTCAAAACCTACTGGAATTTAAACAACAAAAACTTACAATTCGGACCTGGAGTGTTCAGAGTGAAAACTGGGGTGATCAGAATGAAAACTGGGGTGCTGCCACCTGCATGTTCAGTATGGCCTCTGTGTGAGCCAGAGGCCATGACATCTGCAGAGAAAAATGCACATCAATCCCAAATAGCACATTTGATCATTTTAATGTCCACAACAATATGTGACAATAGGTTGCAACTTGTCCTGGTGACAATCTACAAGTCCAGTGATGTTTGGGTATTTTAGTCTTGCAAATGCATTTTTCTCCAAATGGGCTGCTCAGCAGTAATGATTATTCAGAGAAAAGTGGCAGACAGGGTCAGGCAACAGCATAATGAAAAGTGAAAACTTGAAAGATACTAGATGAATATTTATGCAGAGCAATCTTCACTCTCGCATTATGGTGCATAATGGGATCAGCAAAGCTAACGGAATTCATGCTGCGTGAACTTCCTCTGTGAGAACTTAGTTTAATCTGCACATAAGACTGACAACCCGTGAACACAGAGAAAACATTCAATGGCATGTAAAAACTTCATTGAAATAATGTTTCTGACTATATCAATGTTCTGGCAATGACAGAATAAACAACGTTTTTTTTTTTCCAGGCAGATTTTAAATCCACAGGCCACTTTTTTTGAAATGGCATCCAAACATTGTCGCAGCAGACTTTGTTCTTTTGTTTCGCTGCTGATTTGGTATGTCCTACTGTTCAGTTGAAAAGCATCCATGGGGATTGAGTAAGGAGGACAAGGATTTCAGGACAGTCTGACACTGACCAAGAAGAGCAGCCGGGCAAATTTCTGCTCTGATCCTGCAAGATTTGTCAAGGAATACTTTCCATTGCAAAACAAATGGCTGTTGGCTGACTCTCGAGTCTGTCTTATTTTGCAAAATTTTCTTCTCAAGGTGTCCAAAACTGTATCTCAGTACACATCGGCAGTGAAACCCATTCCTGTGCTGTACTGTCAGCACAAAACAGCTCAGTTTGCTCATGCTGGGGGCTGCAGGTTTACTGCACAGATAGGTCTGCATTGCATCCACTCTTTGTATTTTCTGTGAGCTGGTCACTACAAAGCCCAAGAAGCTACTGCTACCTATCATTATGCACAAACCCCCAGTTGATCACCTGTGGCTAAGTACCCATATATTTAGCCGACCATCTAAACATTTTATGTTTGTACAAGGGTCTTAAAAATTTGCTTAGGAATACCAGTTTTTTCCTTGACATTTCTACAATATACTGGCATTATTACTGGTTTATCTTGATTTAAATATTAGAAGGATAGCTTTGTTACTGAACTTTATGATTTCCTTTACTATACCAAGGGCCCAGCTTTACCCCTATACTTCACTGAATGCTTCAGCACATCTCATCCTTCTGAAATCAAGGATATATGAATACACTCTATTGAATCTGGACCTTTGTGAGAAACGGGAAAATAATGCAATTCTAGTTATGTGAAAGATCAGAACCCTCCAAAACGCTCAGTGCAAGCATCATCCAAGTTTAACTTGTTTTCTGGAGAGCCTACACATCACTATTCAATGACTGTATCAGAAGCACATCAGTGAAGAGAGATAACCTTAGGCATGACTTTAAACGAGAGCACACAAAACAAACTTTAAAAGATGCATCGTTTAGCCCATACTAGTAATCCGAACTTTCCCTTCTGCTGTCGATTTGCCCTAGGGGCCGCGTACCACCGACACGTTGGGCTCAGGGACTCCGTACGGGCCCCTCCGCCATTCCGGGCGCGGGCCCGCCCTTCTCGGCACTTCAAGGCCGGAGAAAGCAAAGCTGTGAGGACAGGGGGTGGAGCGGGCTGCAGAGCCATTCCGAGTTGCGACAGCCGCTGCAATTATTTTTTTTTTTTTCTTTTTGTACGTACATAATGCTTTTTGTTTCAACACTCTCTTTACAAAGCACGGCTGGAAGCGGCGGGGGGTTTGGGTTTTCCCCGCCTCTCCCTCCGCGGGAAGGTGCAGGGCAGCCTGGGCTCGACGTTGCCTTCCAGCACCCTCCCGCTCAGCTCGGGCTTCAGTCAACGCCGCGGCAGCCTCAGCGCCTCCCCCCCTCCGCTCCCGCCGTGTTCCCGGCCCCCCCGGGGCCGATGGCGGACTGCCCGCCTGCGCCTACCCGCGCCCACCTCCCGCCGCCTCTGTTTGTGCGTGCTAAAAATAGACGGGAGCGCCTGACAACTGCCTTCTGATTGGCTGCCGCCGAGGTGCCGCCAGCCTATGGGAGCGCGGGGCGCCGCGGGGCGGGGCGGGGCTGGGCGATTGACGGCCGCCTCGCTGGGGCCGGGCGCCGGGCCGGTTTGGGCAGGGGGGTGCGTGGCGCAGCGCGGATCGGTGTAGGCAGAAGGGGGGGGGTGAGGAGGGGAGGAAATCGGTAAGAGACGTGTGGGAGCCACCGGGCAGGGTTAGAGGCCGGCGCTGTGTTACCGGGCCTCCGGGCCCCGCCGTTTGCTTTCCGGACTGTTAGCGCTCTCCCCTCCGTAAAAGCTCGAATTAAGGAAGCCGCGGGTGCCGCCCCCGTGACGGCCCCAATCGCCCGCCGCCCCCCGCCGGCCTGTGGGGGCCGCCGCCGCCCGCCCGCGCCGGCAGGGGGCGCCCGTGGCTGCGGCGGACCCGGCGGGGGCGGGGCGCGCGGGGCGGGGGGCGGGGCGGTAACTGCCTCGGCCCCGGGGGGGGGGGGGGGGGGGGCCGGGCTGAGGGCCCCGGGGCCGCCCAAGGGCTGCACGGCGGTGCCCGGCGCGGCCCTCGGCGGGGGGGTGCAGCGCCGTGTGAATCGAACCTCTTCCCGGGAATTGGTTACCGGGCCTTTTCATGTATTTTGTAGATTCCAAAGACATCTTGCGGACTTCCGTGTATAAAAGTAGTACCTGAAGTGGCAGATACATAAATCGGGGAAACAACAGGTAGCTGAAAGAGCCAAAATGGCATAGAAAGGCAATTTTTTTTTTTTTTTTTTTCCCCACGGAATTCTCAAGAAACAGTGTTAACAATTGCAATGGAGAATTAGGAGAATGCCTTCAAATCTAATTTCAAATAAATATGCAATTTACAATAACTGCACCAAAACAACAGATTGATTGGAAAGAAGCATCAACTTTGTATATAAATAGTTATATAGGCATATATTAAAGATATCTGCTAGTGTTTCTTAGTCACAAAAAGTGAGCTGGGGGAACTTGGAAGGCAGAACCAGGAGCTGATTAGCAGCAAACTGTGTCCTAATTTATTCAAGCACTGGATAACACCTCTGGAACTGTTAAAAGATCTCACAGTCTCGAGGAGTGGTTTGACTCTTTCATACCTCTCTTCCAGAACCTCTCTTCTCATGGGTGCCACACAGACTGATCATCACAGAGGTGCGAGTCCAAGTGTAGTGAAGGTAAGAAGTGTAAAGAAGGGAAGTGAAAGAAGACTTTCTTCCGAAGAAATTTGCATCTTCTAATTTTCACAGAGTCTGTGCCTTGGTTCACACCAATAGAAGGAAGCAAGCAGTTCTGTGTTCTGATACACTTTAAGTTAAATTACTTGAAACTTCTAAAAGTCATAATTTTCTATTGCTTTTCCATTAAGCACAGGTAGCCTTCAGTGTGTGAGCATTATCTTGTCCATATGAGCTGTCGGTGTCAACTTGTAATTTGCATACTAATTGCCTGCAGTCTTTAGCGGTAGAAAAGTTAGCTCTCCACAATTCAAAGGACTTCTTAATTATAAAAGGAAAGTACTTCATGGCAAAGAGTGTAGCCAATAATTATCTACTGCCAGGTGCCAAAACACATGTGAAATGTTAACTGCTGGGAACATAAGGAAGCTGATTTCTTGTGTGGCATTTGAGGCTTCTAGAATGAGAAAGAAAATCATTGTTCGTGTTGATTTCAGATGTAATGGTATTTGCTGTGTGGTGATGGCATTTCGGAGAAACAGCGTGGTAACTCTAGCACTGTTAATGCAGAGGTGGTGCAAGTTATCCACAGAGGGACCATTCTCCACATGGGTTCTGAGCACTTCTGAGGGCTTGTATCATCTCTTGCAACTGGTGGGACTTTCCCAGTGTGCACACAGTCACCCTTCCCGTCTCTGGGCAGCAGCAGAAACTGGTTTTTAACCATTCCTACCATCTGGTCATAACCTAATCCTCTCCTGTGTCATCACCTCATGAAGCCAGCATGAAAGGGTTAAGGCTTTTTTAGCAGGGTAATTGTTCGTGTTTCTCTTGGATTTAACTGAAGGATTTCTCATGCAAGTCATAAATGTGAAACTTCTTTAGATTCGCCCTTTTGCTGTATAAGAGAGTCCAGCTGGTTTTGCTGTGTGCAGCTGCATATACTTCCAAAGTTCAGGGAAGTGTAATAGCTTGGAGATCTGTTTATACTGACTTTAGTATGACATTGCACACTTTCAGTACTACTGCTTGCCAATTTATCACAACACTAGAGATAACTTTTTAGATAAGTCCTTTAACAAGAATATCTTCAACTTTTAGTATTTTTTATACATTGCTTAGTAAACTGTTTTATTTACAGATTAAGCCTACCTATAGTTTTACTTCTTAAGCTGTCATACATTTTATTTTCACCTTCAGCACTATTTCTTGTCATGTATAGCTTGAGTGTCTTTTATAACTTCTGAATAGCTAATTTATGGTGACATGTCTTGCTGTACATGCTCTGTTATGTAAATACGATATGTTGATAAAGTTACAGTTCTAAGGGCATCTGTTCAGGGATGCATATATAATTTCTTTCCCTACAGTGTTTTACTTAGTCCTTTTCTGGGACACCTGTATTGTATTTTCTTTACCTTCCTGCACAGCCAGTGCCTCTGGGCTGTTTTTCTGAGGGCTTTAATTACCGTGTTGTCTGTAAGACAATTACATAATTAAGTGATTTTTATTTTCATTCTGAATTTGGTAATTGTAACTAAAACACCAAAAAGTGCATTAGGTGCAATATGAAAAAACTCAATCATTAAATGTACCTTGTAGAGAAACATAGTTGAAAAGGATCCATTAAGAACCAATAAATGAAATGAAAACAAAGAAAAAAAAAAAGAAATACAATTGAGTTTACTGGACTCCCTCAGTCTGTTGCTTTAAATGATAAACTTTTTGTAGCTTTGGTGATCGCAAAAATGTGGTGCTCTAAGGCAAATTTATAATTGTATTTAAAAGAAACATTGAAGAATAGAGTGCTGAAAGGACAGGTGTTTTATTGGTTCATAATTTTCCATATGTAATATTTTAAAGATAGATCCTGTATTTGCTCTCTCTAGTTCTAGCGCTGACCCAATCATGTATGTGTTTGTATACATTTATACTTTTCATTTTTTATTGAAACAGATGGCATATCTCCCCTTTCAAGGCTCAGGCAAGGGGGACATAGGAAATATCATAGGATTAAAATTATTTTGGAACAAGAAGACGTCTTTCTCATATCCTGTTTCCCATGCACCTGTTAGTCTTTCAAGCTAGCAGTGACAGTAAACACTCAGAGCGTGTTTTGGTTGTGGTGTTCTGAAAACCCTGCCCTGTTCTTTGATATTCAGTTCCTATGACTACCTGTTTTTCAAAAACAGAAGTCTTAAAGTTAGCAGCTGAGCTTCGCTGAGCTCAACAGTAATACTCCCACCAACCACAAAGGGAGCAGATTAGGCATTTGTTCCAGCTCTATTAGAAAACCTCTCCCCTAAATCCACCAGTCACCTAAGGCTCAGTGCTTTTAAAAATCGGGTTGTTTCTTAAAGCATATAAACATGAGTTCAGAAGCCTGGTTTTCAGCTGTTCATTGTGAAAATGTTAGACAAGCTTAATTTCTGCAGAAATACTACAAAGTCAGGGTTTCTAGAATTTAAGATATGTATTTGTGCTCCAGGGAAGATTTGGAATGCTATGACTAAAATGCATTTTTTCCTGGCCTCTGATATCTGTTTTTAATATACAAATATGCATGAAACATTATCCATGCGACCGTGCAGTGTGGGACATGTGAATGGAATGGTAGTGATGTCTCTGGAAGTCCAGATGAAAAAATGGCTCAAAGCAGTTAGAGGTCCTTATTCAGCCAGAAGTTTACATACGGTTATGCTGCCAGCGTCAGTGGGTGTTCAGGCAAGCATTTATGCTCTGATGAATTTCCACTTGGTCCTGCAGGAATGTCTGTTCAAATGCATGTTTGAGATACTTAAATTTCTATCGGAGTAGCGGCTGTGAATATTTAGAATTTTAACATCTACTTTAACACTTACTAAATGAATACAAGACTTACATAAAATATATGTCATTTTCATTTCGGGCCTCAGTCCTTACTACTGGTAAAACAGATTTCCCAGAGCATGGATTTGTGTCAGCATGCTTTTGGATATAGCGTAGAATGTGATCATAGGGGAAACCTGGACAGTCAGTCATTTAAAATTACCCTTTTTCCTCATGTGATCGTTAGGCATAGAATTGAGACCTTCAGAACATGTTTTGAAATATATTTTAAGGATGTTGTGATTCTGAAGCTATAATTCACATCCAGATTTATGATAATAAAAATTCAGAATGAAGGGCAAAGCCTGTAATTTAGCATTTAAGTTAATCTCCGAGTTACACTGAAAATCAGGGTGAAGCCTATCCTGGTGGTCATGAATGCCTAGCTTCTGAAGTCTTCATGTTACCAGAGACAGGATTAAATGGGTCAGGGGTCTAATTTAGTAAAACAGTTCTTGTTTTTCCAGAGGTTTCTAGGGACCTTCTTGGTGAACACCGGGTTATTTTGAGAGACGAAACATCAGAAATTTGAGCTGGTGGAATGAAATGTGCACAGTCAGAGCTGTGCATCTCTTAATTCCAAGTCCCATGGCTTTGATATATGGACCATAGCTAATCTGTGGTGTTCTGTTAAACAGCAAAATTGGTAGTGTTTTCAGTTACAGGTTTGGTGAGCAGGCTACATGGCAATCCACAATAAACTTGAAAAGATCGATGGTTGTCCTTTGGCTCTAAAACCTGGGGAGTTGGTTTGAAGGACTAACATCTTGTGTAATTTTTTAGGGCCTTCACCACGCATGCGTCTGTCAGGCTATATTTTGTATAAAAAAAACGTAATAACCACAATCAAATATTTCTCTAGTTTTCCTATAGCCACATTTTACAGTTATATCATAGCCTTTCTGGTAGACCATACTTCAAATATAATATTTGTATTCAGCTGTCACCAGCTCACATTTGCCAATCAACATTCAGTGAGTAGACACTGCTGGCGGAGTGCCAAGGTGGTGTCAGTACTAATTCACATTTGAGAAGGCAGAAGATCCCATAGACATGTTAAGATTTGTTATTGATCAGGACTTTGTCTCCACAAACTGAGGTTATTATTTTCACTGGAGTCAGGAGTCATACTGCTTTGATGAGGAAGTAACTTGGACCTTATCCAGCTATTGATATTTCTAAAGTGATGATCTGGCTCTAAGTCTGACTGCAACGGTGCATTGGTTCACCACACAGATCTTATTACATGTGCCTGTCATTAGTAATGCTTCTGACTTCAACTTTTGAATGCCTTGAACTCAGAGCCTAGTGGTTTTAGTTTTAATAGGTTTTGTGTGTAAGGCTGTTCATCCTTTTGTATAGTGTTGCCAGTGATTTGCTTGCTGTTCACAATCGTGTAAGAAAGTTGCTGCATGTGCAAAATGTGCTGCTTGGGAGAATTGTGCAGTCTGGGAATACTGTTGTATAAAAAGGTAACCTGCACTGGATTTCACCACAAAATTTCAGTATTAAATATTAAAATCAAAATGACATGTCATCTAATTAAAAAATAACAATTTTTCGTATTCATAAACATCTCTACATGGACTTACTTGGCAGTATTAGGGGCTAGTAAGAATATCTACTGTACCACAAAGGATTCCAGAGTTGATGGTCCAAAGTTACTTTTTTCTTTCTTAGAGTTTGTATGGGCTGATGGAAATGTCACCAAGCTACGAAATGAGTAATGAAACCTGGATTTGGTCTGGTGTTTTTGTCTGCTGACGGGTGTGCCTCTCAGCTCATGCTGTGTGACGGCACCTGTAGCACTACGGGAGTACCCATGTTCCAGCAGAACTCAGGCAGAGCAGCTGCTGCACATCCACTGCACCTGCTCCTGCACTCTGAGGCTGAAACACAACCCCTGCAAGGCCAAGGTGATGTTGGTAGGGGAAGGGAGGTGGTCTGAAAGCCTTTTTTATGCACGTGCATACATGCCACCATCGAGTCAGTGCTCTTGTGACTGCTGAGTCAGCCTAGATAATCAGATGCCAGGTGATATTCTTTTCACACTTCTGGGCAATATTTCAAGTAGAGCTTGACTACTGTACCGTATGTTTGTCACTTCAGATGAGATTCTTCTCACCCAGTTT